AACCTGAGTGAAAGGACACACGAGTAAAGCAAGAATATGGGCAACTAAAAGCTGCGTGGTGATTTTACTCGACCTACATCGAGAGGAACATGGTTCATTGTTTGATGGCTTGAAAACATTTCGCAATTGCAAATCGGCATGTCAGTTTTATTCTACCCGATAAAATGCTTTTGTTAACGCGAAATTTAGAATGCGTTTCTTACAGAAACTATTTCGTCCTTCCCCAAGTATCTCATAATGGTGGGCAGTTATTTTAAACTCGCATGTAAAAATACATGGATGTAACTAAACATGACTTAAACCTATATTAAACTAGTGATGGGATTCATTGAAACAAGACACCGTGGCCTGTGTACGGGTATTGAGAAGCGAAAAGCTGATTGGTCTGGGGCAAGAGGCTGGCAGTCTTTTCACGTACTCCACTCAGCCAATCAACATAAGCCCTTATTAGTTAGGGAAGACAAATTTCTTATCATATCATCTTACCACTTTTGAAAGCGCGACTCCTAAGACTTTAAAACGGTGATATTACCCGCAAATTCACAAATTTTTTGCGATGTCTTCCTCCACTGATATTGTACCAGGAAGCCTTAACATCACGAACACGACGCATTTGCCTGCACACTGTGGTAATCCTTATGAGTCTGGAATTGCACATATCCTCGTCACTCATGTCAGCCTCAGTATAGCTATTCTTGGGATACCTGCGAATATTTTGGCTCTCATAGTTCTCAACTACCAAGTGACAAATCGCAGCCCAACCCACATTCTCCTTACAGCACTTGCAATCGAGGATATCTTGACTATTGTTTTTTATAGTGCCTATTATATTGCAATACACTACTACGAAACATTTAACTTAACATGGCTGGGCAGTCTGCGGTATATCGACACCCCTCTCTTCTACATATTAAACTGGACGAAAATGATTGAAATTTACACGGTGGTTTTTCTAAGCCTGGAACGCTACGTAGCAATCAGGTGGCCACTTAAAGCCACACGGCTCTGCTCAGTAGGCAGAACAAAACGAGGGCTAGTGGTTATAGTGGTGCTGTCGGGGATTTTCAAACTTCCTAACTTTATTTTTGACTACCGCACACTGAAGTGGCATCCGGAGTGCCAAAACTATCGACTCGACGCCGTGTTTATTGCCGCCTCATGGTATGCTACATTCAAACTGGTTTATGTACAACTGCTGGATCAAGTGTGCTCTTTTATAATTCCACTGAGTCTACTGGTGTTCTTGAACTTTGGGCTTATTTTCAGGATTTTTCCACCTACCAAAAAATATAGGTATGATACTTGGAACAATGGCAAAATCTTGACTTCAGAGGCATTAGCCATATCTTCAGATAGCTCTGCGGTGAAATATAAAATTCCCATGCCTGATAATGGAATGACGGTTCTGAGAACATATTCATTTCGCACACGTCGTAATATGTCAACAAAAGCACGACGTACGACTGATCACAAATCCGCTAATAATGAGGAGCCAGTGAGGCAAACAGATGCAGTTTTTCGAGAAAAAAATGGTCACGGGAGTATAGCTGGATCCGAGTTTCATCCTGGGTCAAGAAACATTAATTCAAATAATCGGAGTATACTTCTCACCCTAGTTGGAGTAGTCACCATATTTCTCATTTGCGAAACACCCACGACCCTGTGTTTCCTGGTTGAAATGTGGGATCTTCTCTCAGGCATTTGGAAGAAAAATGGAAACTCAACGACCAGCTTGGCAATTTCACCCATTTTCGTTACAACCGAGGATCTTTACTATTACGCATATCCGGCGGCACTCGTTCTTGTTCTTGTAGGCTGCGCAAGCAACTTTTTCATCTACATTCTAATTGGCAGAAGATTTAGGCGCAATTGTAAGCAAGTGGTGATTAATCTGGCAAAAAGGATTTGTTGTTGCGCACAAAAGACGAACGAGGAAGCTGGCACCAGATTACTTCGTTCGTTGGGGATTTTTCACAGAAACCAAGTAAGAAAGAGTGACTTGGTTGTTGATTTTAGTCCTTGCGTTAAGTGGAATGCATCCCAGAGACGCAGTACTCTGAAAGCATCACGGAAATCATCGTCACATCAAAAGCAGCATTTGCAACTGTCATTGAACATGATTTCTGATGGGATTGACACTTGCTTGTAAACACTATCAATTGATTGAATAATGACAATGAATGAAAGCCATTTGCAACAGCAAAAATGAGGGTCTGTTTTTATACTTTACTCTTGTGTATTTCAGACAGTATAAACATGAAACACTGTAAAATTTACGTGTTACATTCAGCATTTTATTCAACTCAGGTCGCTACAATTACACGCTGGTTTATTGCGCAATGCTGGTTGACCTGTTTGCTGAAAAACAGAACTGGTCGAGTGCGGTGGAGACGAATGGAGACTTCGGCATTCAGACCAGATCAGTGAGATGGTGTGTATCTGGTCTAGTGTTTTTATGAAAGTGGGCTGGCTGTGCTGCGTTTCCAAGTCAACCCACTATTGTTAAAACGTGAATGATTTGCATCGATTTTTAGCACATTGGAAATAGAAGAGTTGAGCGATCGTCCCCTTGATCCGCTGAAACTTGTATTTAAATACTGCTCCCTTAAAGCCGAGTTCTTCTTAAGGCCATTAATGTACCAACTTCCCTTTCTTATCTTCACCTGACATACATGGGTAGCAGTGTTATGCTTGCTTTAAAAGAATCGGCAAATCAGAGTTTGCACGGTGAAATTAAAAGAATCTGGCCGAGCCTGAAGTTGCTAGGCGTTGTGTGTGTGTGTGTGTTCCTCTAAACATTCGTGCATTTCATTACTTTTGTTACATGCTTAGGCAACTGTAAAAAAAAACCAAGATTTTATAAATTTGGCTATATTTTGCACATTTAATTTAACTGGCGTGTTTGAAATACTTCAATTTACTTATTTTTCCAACGCACCAACAATGAATGACTGGAATATCTGATATCCCTTGTCGTCCGAGACCTTCAAGTGCCAATTAAGTCGACTTAAAATAGAGGCGCTCGAGACTATCGGCGGCAATCAGCAGGTTTGACCACTGGGGCAAAAATCCTATACACATTGATAAGCATGATCGTACAAAGGATAGATAAAAAAGTATCGAAAATTCTAGGTAAAAAATTAAATCCAGGGTGAGGAGAAAGCGCATAGATACAGTGACACCGATTAGTTGGACTAGCATACTATGCTAATTAATTAAGAACCATTTCACACTTGTGCGATAATGAACTTTTAATTCACTAAATGACGCAGCAAAAAGTCGAATAAGTGGTGTGAATGAGAACTGGGAAAATCCTGCACATGTTTATGACTGTAAATATTTATCTTGGTAGTCTGTGGTTATTGCTGTTGTCTACCTTGCAAAGTTCCTCGAATCCAAGTAAAATGACGATCTTCAAAGACATATACATGCAAACGAAAGTGTGAAATCATGGAAAATGCTAAAACCGCTATTTTACTACTCCACACATGTGTCTCACATATAGTGTTATGGTACATTTATTTAACTAGGGATCTTCTGATCGACTGGAAATAAAAACCCTATCAAATTGTTTGGACCTTTAAGTGTTATTGGCATAATTCTGACGGCTGCGATTCTGACAAGTGTGTCGATTAATATTTCCGTCTATGCAGGAAAACTGTCACTTGAAGTTTTCGCTGTATACAACGTAACCAGATTATAATATTTTTAGAGCAGGCTTAACTGAGTTTCATTCTACCAGATAAAGTGCTTTTGTTAACGCAAAATTTGGAATGCGTTTCTTCCAGTAGCTATATTGTCCCTTTCCCAGTATTTCATAATATTAGGCATTTATTTTAAGCTCATAAAAATGAAATGAACATAACTAAACATGAGTTATATCGATATTAAACTAGTGATGGGATTCATTGAAACGAGACACCATGGCAAACTAAGTAAGACATTCATTAAGTGTTTTAATTAAGGGTTTAGAATTCAGTGGGTCGTATTAATTATAAGCACCAGCTTTGTTTCCGTTTTGAAATCCCTAAATTGCACGTTTACTCCATTACTTTTCAATAGGTGTAAAATACTGTACGACTACAGAATCTTTAATAAATGTATGGTTTTTAATCAACATGCTTGCCTATTTTTCAAATAATGCAAATAATCCGCAGAATATAAATGTCTTGCGCATTCAATACTACTTGCTTGTACGTTATTACTTACATACTTGCTGATTCGCAATAGTCTGTGTATTTTTTGACTTCTAGTGGCTAGCTAAATTTGCAAAATAGAACTTAAAAATAGAAGGATATAAATTGTAATATATGTAATCGCAAACGCATGCCTTGATTCTTATCTGTGTAAATGTCTTCATGAAATTTTTCAAAAAGTCATGAACAAAAGTCGCTTGTTTGACAGCACAGAATTTTGCATTATTATCAAACTGTAGAAGGGGTCGTTGTGTTGACATCAAAAGTAGATTGCTGTTTTACGTTTTAAAATGATAATCTACAAAGACGTCAAGCTACGCAAGTGAGTCAAGCAAGATGTATTGTAGGTGGGATGTCCACGCATTTAGGCTTCGAAGGGATAGAATTCAGACGGAGCAAAGAATTTGGCTAGTGCTGCATCAGTCGCATTTTCTTTGTGCTCGATTGTGATTCACCTTCCAGTCGCATTCCCTATAACCATGTTAACGTTAAGATTATGAACATAAATTCGCAAACTCTTCTGGAAAAACGTAGAAACACTTTAGTATTGTATTTACTACTTAAAACATTTAAGATTCAAGAATCATTTTTCGAATTTCAAAAAATTAATGTTATATTGTGAAAATGGCCTAGATAAAAGAAAAGTAAAGAAAGGGCATCTAAGTGTAACCTTCTAATAAAACTCGAAGTGTGTGGGGGCTCATTTTTAATTAACGTTAAAATAAAATCTTGGGCACTATTCATCTTTTTGGCTGACTGAAAGTGGCTTAAGTCTTGTGCTTTACGAGATGCTGGATTTCTCTTCAGTCTCTAACAAATAGAGCGATTTGAGAAGCAAGATTATGCCAGTCAGTCAATTTGCATCACGAATTTGTCCAAATTAATTGGCGACACGCGTTTATTGTCTACTTTACAACCAAAAATCGAGAAAGCAGTGGATTTAATGTCCCTAGTTCAGATCTTTTTTGGCCAAAAACTGGAGAATAAAATCTTTTTTAGTCTTAAATTTTTGACGTCTCAACGAAGTGGTAACTCACAACAGATTACAATCAAGTTATATTACCAATTGCGAACTGTCAGTAAAAGCTAATGTCACCCTACCTGGTTACGAATATTTCTCAAACGATTGATGCGTTCTCTAATCCTCAGCCAACTTCAGCTTGTAAGCGCATTAGGTGGCTACATTGTGCATTATTGCAGCTGCCTGTTATTACTTAATTTTAAGCTATTCGGCCAGCGTAGATTTAAGAAAACCCACGTCTTTTTAGAACAAAATGTTTCTGTGTATGATATCTCACCAGCAAAACGTTCAACACTAGAGCACAACCCACCTTAACATAAATTTGGGTAGCACACGTGGCTGGCAATTGCTCGGCTGAATTGCCCTGGTTCAAAGGATTTACACTTTCACCAATGAATGAAATGATTCCATTGCCAAAACTAAAATGACCATCAGCCTCATAATCGACTGCTCTCAGGTCGGTACAATGCCCTATAATTCTAAATTAAACTAAAATAACAATAATAAAATGTCTGTACTTGTGACATGAAAAATTTAAGTAACGCTGCTTGATATCCACATGATGTTTTTATCGCAAACGACATATAAAAAAAGATGTGATTAGATTAAATAAGCGATTTAAAAAAATACCACATAACTCCAGATCTTGTTAAACCCTGTATTATCTCAGCAAGATAGTGACCATTTTATCGTGTTCAATAGCTTGGTTACAATCCCAAAATTAACTTTTAAATCATGGGCTTCCTGATAATTCAAAAAAACTAAGCTAGGTAATCGAAAAGATGACACACGATAAGAGGCGATTTAAAAGACGCGTCAAAAGGAAAGTTATTTAAAGGTTTATTACTTGAAAATGGTCAAGCACATATGCAGCTAGTTGATTTTTATCCTGCCAAGTATTTTTTTTATATTTAATTACTTCTGACGACAAAGTTGTCTAAGGGACTATTTTGATGCTGAAACTAATGAGCGATGCATGGTTTTCGGCGGCGTACCTGAGAACAAATATCATGGTGAGCTATTGTTAAAGGAAGTGGAAACTCTACGAGATAAGCGTATACGTGCTAGCAGATGCAGTGTGCGCAAAACATCGACGCGCTTTATAATTGCAGGGAAAGTGCTTGTGTTCCACTTACACACACACTAAGTTGAAGAATGAGGTGTGGTCAAGGCTGCCAGATTATTTTACTTGCCAAAAATTGATTAAAAACAAAAGGCAAAATTTATAAACTTAGGGAAAATGATTTACAGGGCTGGTTCACAATGACATTTCCTAAATACTGGTGAATATCATTAGTAACTTCTTTTTTGCATTCAAAACACTCTTCAAAAGCAGTAGCAGTAGTCATCATGAAAAGGGTTGTCCATTAGCTCAACCGCGTCGGGACTCACAAGGCACGACAACACATATTGAAAAGAACGTTGGATGTCACTCTTAACTCTGCATTGGTGGGCGTTTGTACACTTTTGCTACCGAGGAAAAGTTATTGGACTTCGTAAAATGCAGTAAAGTGCCACAAATGACTTACAGCCGCTGTAACTTTAAACTATCCATGCAATCCATTTTCTTCTCCAGGGGATTCAAGTAAACACAGAAAGGAAAATGATCAAAGGAATTGTCCGTTAGGTTTCACCAAATTCCCAGGTCATTTTATTAATAGAAACCACTTTTATTTTAAATTCTAACATCGCGATATTCTAAGAAGTCTAAGTAGGTGGTCTTCTTCAGTGTCATTACGTTCTGTTTTTGAAGTCAAGTAAATTTAGAAGCCTTTGAAAAATGACTTAGCTTAACTCTGAAATACCAGACTAAATACAACTTTCCATGTCTGTATTTTTTTAAATAACCTCCACCATTGTTTTCCAAAAGAACAGGCAAATACTTCTTATGAAATGCTTCTCGCTTATGACAGTTCTGTTATATTTGCAGAT